TTTCGTGTCCAATTCCTGCTCGATGCCATGTTGAGCAGTGATGAGCCATGTCCTCGACAGTGTCGAACTCAAGTCCCTGACATGTTTATAGCTGTGTCGGATACGTATTGTATCGACCTGTGTTGAACACGTATCCGACACGGGTACGGCACCTACTTTACAGTTTCGGTGCTTCACAGTTTTGGTCTACAAGAATTTAGCATTTTGATTGTAAAATTACACCGAAAGTAGCTTAGGCATGCCCTGACAATTATACAATAGTATGGTCATACTTTGCTCTAATACAATCAAAACACAGCGTGAGGGTTTATTTGTTTAATTCTGAAGTTGCATTTTGTGATCTTTTGAAGGCCTGGCGGTTATTGCCATGGAAACTCTATTGACTATTAATTATGGAAGAATTTCTTCTGACTGTTTAGAGAATGGGACAAACTTTTGTTGTCTGATTCTCAGTCCATTGCTTGAAATACTATTACAGAGCTTTACTGTGGCTTTAGCATTGTCTCAATCTTCTTGTTTGATTGGGTTTGCGTGGATATAGGATGATGTTTTTGGCCGTGTTCAAACACAGCGCAGGCCTCTAAGCTTGCCAATGTTCCATATGCTCTCAAGCCTAAATAATGGTTATAGTTTGAACTGCTTGTTTAGGTTTACTGCACCTGATTAAATGCGGAAAACTTAAAATAAAATAATGGATAATTTATTTGCATAACACTCATTTCTTATGTCTATACATATCTAATAACTAATTTTCAATTTTTACATGCATTCCACCTTACCCATGCATGAAAGGCGTATCTCACTTTTTTAAAAGTTAGATGGTGATATTTTTTATGTGATATGAAAGATTTAGGTGGTATAAAAGTTTAGTTGTTAGATATGTAAATACAAAGGATTTCAGACTGTCTGTCAGGGAGCATATCATCACTTAGCTCATGTTTCTTTGGAAATATATACATTTGAAACTAATTGCAAAGGTTTGCTAAGTTAGAGATAAAATTACCTTAAATTCTTTTTGGTAAATTCTTTGATCTAATTGAGAATTATTTCAACTAGCTTCTTAAAATGCAAAGCAGTTTATAACATTATAAATGGTTTAAAGAAATCATTTGCCCCTTTAGAATGTCGTGTATGCAAAATCTCAAAAAAAGCAAAAATTTCTCGAGCTATTGCTTTTTCTAATGTATTATTCTTATTAAAATATAGGCAGAAATTGGTTATTATTGGAACTGTAAAGTTTGAAAAAAGGAGTTCTCATATGAATTAAGGATTATAGCATAACCTTTCATGCGTACCAGAGCCAATATGTAGAGTCTCATGTTTTATCACACAAGCCTTTTATTTTTGTTTTAGTTGTGTTCGTTCTCTCAATCTTCTAGAGTAGACGAGTAAATACACTTTATGCTCATGTGACTTTTGCATTTCTTCAGGTTAGTGAGGGTCTTGATTTTGCTGATCAAACAGGGAGAGGAGTTGTGATCACTGGAATGCCTTTTTCGATGAAGACTGATCCCAAGGTCTGATGATGAAACTAGCATATGAATATTCTATTTAGGTCATAATTAGCTTGTGATGTTACATAAAATGCTGTTGAAATTGCACTACCCAATGGAAAAGTTTACCTTAACTGGTTTTATTTCTTCTTTTAGATTCGCCTCAAACGCGAGTACTTGGATCAGCAAGCCATAGCAAGGAAGAAAGACTCTAAAGATGTAAACATATTCTTATTATGACTAAAATTTTGTATTAGTTTCTCAAGCTATTTATTAGCAAAAGTTTTTTCTTTTTCTTTTATAAATTACCTTCTAATTTTCTTTCAGGCTCTGACTGGTGAGCAGTGGTACGTGCAGCAGGCAGTGAGGGCTGTGAATCAAGCTATTGGTCGTGTTATCAGACATCGCCATGATTATGGAGCTATAGTTCTTTGCGATGAAAGGTGCCACCATAATGTATTTTGTTCTCCAGCAATCTTATTTCCTTGTCTAAATTTTCCAACGAGTAAAAACCTTTATTTCAGAGCTTTAGGAAAGCCAACTTGTAATTTGCCATAAAGGTTGAACCCATAAGAAATATTTACTCTAGTATCATTTCTTATTTGTGATGAAGTAATTTGGATAGACTGCAAGTCAGAATACCTAATTTCTGTAGGTGACATATTGGACGGTCTCGCAGACATTGTGGTTTCTTACCACAACTTTAATCTTCATATTGCACTAAATTAAATTTCGTACCATTGAAATGCATAGAAAAAATCAGAGGTATTTGTTCACTTTTTTTTATTTGATTTTTCTATTAAGTTTTCTCTGGTCTATGCATAGGTTTGCTCAGCAAAACTATCAGTGCCAAATGTCATATTGGCTCCGGCCATACGTCAAGGTCAGATGATGAGCTTTTTAAGTTGTAATTTGTTATAACATTTTTTTTCCTAATGAATAAGATTACCTTGCAGTGCTACCCGAGGTTTGGAGATGTAGTTTTTAAGATGATTAGATTTTTTCGTGAGAAAGAATTTTCTATTCTTCAGAAGCCAAAGTTAACTGAAAGCCTCGTCACAGGTTAATTTATTCTTGTTTTCTAATTCTCTTAAAGATATTTATGCTTTTAGTAGTAACTTGATGTTCCTTCATGTTTATGTCAGCATGTATGTTTACTCCTTTTATTCTTTGTGCTGACAACTTCATTAACTATGTCATATTTAGATTTCCTTGTCCATTTATAGACTAAACTGGAAGTTTTTTGTTGCCGTTTGGTTTCTATCTATAAGCAATATGGTAGTTTTAATACTGGTACAAAAGATCTCTCAAAATGTTTTACTTTCTAACTATAATTTTATGTAACCAACCTAGCTTTGTTTCTAATAATGCATCCCAAGTCGTTTAACTTGTTTTGAAGGTCCTTGATAGCATGCATTACCTCTTATTGTGATCTATATGTCTTTCTATGAGTCACTACATGTGATTTTATATAAATCTGACTGTGATTCTATATGAGTTTAAGAGTCAATCATGAGAATTTAATATAACAGTAAATATGCATTTAATTCTTATCAAATGGCTGATTGATAAATTAGAAGAAAAGGTTATTATTTGTCATCCTCAAAATGGTTTTTTCGTATCAGATGGTTCGGTGGGGGGATCACGGTGCGGGGAGTGACTGCGAATCGCGACCGTTTGATTCGGCCTTCGGTCGAGCGTTCGCGGCGGGTCGCCGTTTTGGCGAAAAGCGGGTCGCGGATGGAACCGCGCGGCTTGCGTTCGAGCGGAAGCATATTACGCAACCGCACCTCCTCCCCATTCGACCATCTGCCCCTCCTCGTTCAAGCGAAAGCATATTACGCCCTACCCCTCCCCGTTCGAGAACTACCGGCAGTGACTTCAAGGGAACTCGGAGACGACGATTAAGGGGATCGAGGTTTTGAAGTGTAAGGCAGTGTTGGTGATGAGAAATTGCTCCGCATGGATGAAGTGGAGGAGAGGGACGTTGGGGAACTCGATGTTGGCGTCGAGGTAGATCCAGCCAGAGGTTTCGAGGGTGGTGACGCCGACATGGAGGAGATGGGTTCGGGGATGGCCGACGAGGCAAGCATGGGCGGCTCCATCAAAGTTTTATTATTTATAAAGGAAGATTTGCATGCTTACCACTACATTCTCTTGTATTTAGAAATTTAACACCTAAAGTTCAATTTTTACATGTAGAACAAACACCTTATTCATACATGAAAATGTGTATTTCACTTTTTGATAAGTTAAAATTGTGATAATTTTTAAAAGTTTTGGGAGATGTAAATATAAAAAACATTTCCTACACAACATTACTAAACATGGGCAGAATGGTCATTTGTCCAGAAACAACTGTCACATAGCTGTTTTCACACTGTTGCAACAAACAACTAGCTAGCTTCTCCGCAGCAGTTTTCTCGGACAGCTAAGCTGCAGTTGCCTCAAGCAAACCCTAAAAGAAGGAATCCTAAGGATAGGAACGAGGTAAGTTTTCGTAGAAATTAAAGCATAGATAATAGATTTTATTCTGCAAGCATCAAATCAAAACGATGCAATCCTAAATACATAAAAGATGAACGCCAATGATTCTAGAGGCAGAAGATTCTCTCCTAAACTTTAACCTTAAGATGCAAGACAACAATCACATAACCTAACGCTAAACATAAAGTTTTATCTATATGGCGCAATAATAATTAGAATGATTAAATTGCCCTTTTTTTGCCTTACGCCTAATATAAACTTTCAAACTATTTTGGCAAGCTCGCCGTAAACTTTGTGGAGCACGAGGCGGACGATGTGGTAAGCACCGGTCTAAGACATAACATGTTGGTCAAATGAAAAATATTAGTAGGAATACAACTTTAATTTAGGATTGTAATTACCCATATCAGTAAAACCTCGATCTTTGGAGAATTTGCTTCATATTCTTGATAGTTTTCACCAACTTCAGCACAGGTTCAGCCTATAAACCACGATATGCAATTGTAAGATTCATGCAATTTATGTATAATCAAGCTCTTAAATTTTTTGACACTAAATCATTTATAAATTACTACTTTAACTAACTTGAATTTTGCTCTAATGTATTGCATTCATTGGACTATTTTCTTCTTAAATAACAATTGTTGTATTCTCTTAGAAAATTCTTACCCAAAAGGAGCTAGCTGGTTCGGGACGTTACACACTATTAGGTTCAGTGTGAGGTTGGTGCAACCTTAGGAGGGGATCACATGCCGACGTGTACTACAAATTTGGTGCGAGATGTGTCTGAGAATTGGGACTTGGATGCAACTTCTGTGAACTTAAAATCTGACACCAAAATTGATTGGGAGGGGGAAAAAGAATACTCAGCATTCAAATAATTTTATTCATTTATTTATCAATAATAACCAATCACATAGCATGGAGATTTCTATTTATAAAAATAGGATTACATCAATGTGGTCAATTATTAAATGCAAATCTAAACCCATCCAAATCAAACAAACATTTAAATTTAATATATTCTTATCCAAAAGGAGATAAAATTCAAACAAAATAATTCAATTTAAAAATTATGAAAACTGCATCTTGATTAGAAATGGGCCTCAAAAGGCCCGAAATTAGGCTCGGTTCATTATTCTCCTTCTGTAATTCAATGCCTTCAAATGTGATAAAACCATTTATTTACTTTGAAATCGTTGCTTCCAGTGGCATAAGCAATTTATCAAGAACTTATAAGCTCATTTGAACATCAATAAGATGCATCAGAATCTTGTAAGTAGATGCTTAGGATTGCATGATGAAAAATACTTTGCCGGGTTTGCACACAATGTTTCAACTTGGAAACGAGAGAAGATTGTGAAAAAGATCAGCACAGCTGGATATTGTAGTCACCAACAAACTTGCCAGATTTCACAACCAGGAGCATAAGCGAGCCTTCGGAATTTCATTTATCCCTAAACCTTTTTAAAGCATCATTCGTTGAATGATAGTATGATCTTGCTTTGAGAGCAAGAAGTTTGTTTTTTGTAGTTGTAAACCCTATGTCTGCCTTTTTGGCTGTCTTAATAGGAACTTCATCACTGCCTTGTGGCACGAGCTTTGCTTTGAATTTTATCTGCAATGCCAAATAATTGTTTTGATTATGTATATGCATGTAAATTGAATTTAGATATATTTATATAATAGGCAAGAGGAGCTCAGCATACAAGATGTCGGGACAATTTCATATTTTATGATGAATATTTTAAATTTTTTTTTGAAAATGTATAAATTTAAGTTTTTCCTATGATTTTACCAGCAGCTTGAATTTGCCCTATCTTTGAAGATTTTCTTTAAGAGGCTGCGTTGACCTCTAAGTAAGCTTAACAGCTTAGAATTACCATGTTGGTAGATCCGTAACTTCATTTTTATTAAAAACATTTGCTCTATTAAGCACTTATTTAATATTTTTTTTATGGTTTATATCTTTTTAAAGTACCATAATAGGCACATCAATTGCATCCAAAGTTGGTATTTTAGGCAACTGCTGATAATTGTAAATGATGCCTGACTTTACTGTTATATAAATCTGATTTGAAATTTTCAGGTTCAGATTCAAACATAAAGAGTTTTTTTTGGTGATTTTAATGACATGCCTCAATCTGCATCTCATTAACCTGAGTAGGGTTAGCTTTATAATCAAATTCAATCATTTTAGGATTCATTTTTTCAATATTATTCTTTATAAATATATTTTTTTATTCTTCAGCATTATATACGTGCTACAGCTTTGCTTAAATTGTTAACTGACGCTCCGTAATTTTTAAATCTTTCAGAGAAGATTAAGGTGGAAGAGCAACCAATATCCGCATCTGATTTCTTCAGCTGCTTGGTAAATTTCTGCATCATCCTTGTTTAAGCTCAAATTAGTTTCTCTTGGTTTTTATGCACAACAACCCATCTCATATCCCTTTTTCTATCAGACTCCACATATTAAACATGCAACCAATGAGCTATCATCATCTCCAGTCGCAGTTATCAAGGAAAAAACTCGTCTTCACTTAGGGCAGATCATACCCGCAAATCGCTCTAATCTTTCTTTCAAAAGCGAGATTTTTTGCGTCGAAAATAGTCGAGGAACTCATGGGAGCATTAGAAATAAGAATACTAAAATAGTTGATTTGACAACTGAGATCTCAGATGATCAAAATATGAAGCCAGAAGCTGTTCTAGCACCTTGTTTTATCAAATTTCCTAAGAGACCAAAACTGGTTAATGAAGAGTCCAATTGTGGATATTTTACTTCACCAAAGATTTGTAGCAAGGAATTGTTGCCTTCTTATAGCCAATTAGAAGCTCGAAGTTCTGACGCGCAGATAAGAACAACAAATCTAGTTAGTCCTATGATAACTAGAGATATAGAAGCTACCAGTGTTTCTAAAGAAGAATCATGTTCTATGTTCTCTCTGAAGAAAGAG